AAAAATTCCTTCGTTGTTTGAGATATGATTCTTGGCTCACTTTTTTTGAAAGTTTGTTATGTGTGATTGCCCATATCCCCCCACCCCAAACCCCTGGTCTTCACAGGTCCCTCAAGGATTGTTGCTTGGCATTTAGGGGTAGTCACAATAGTCTATATCCCTAGCCAACATGGAATTGATGCATTGGTATTTCTTTCCTAGCCAGACCAGGAAAGATATTGCCGAAACAAGAACTGTAATACAATTACTGGTAAACTCATTACTTAAATCCTAAAAATTTATGATCATATCATGTTCAGAACAATTTGTTTTTTCAATAAGAAGATATTTTGCATCAAACAATGTCTCATTGAATTTTTAGAAATTATTCAGATAAATGTTCATTTGACCAATAAACAAAAACATCAACCCTCTCCATCACGCCAAAGGCATGGAAGTCTCTTCAGATGTTATTTATGCCTTGTTGGATAAAGTAAGAGCTAAAGAACCCTTTTCATAAGGATTATAAAAGCAGGAATTTGAGAAGAACGTTAATGGATGAAACAAGCAAGGAACTTCATCATGAACGTTGTGAACACTGGACTGAAATGATTGTTCACTCCGAGAGGATACTGTGTGTAGCATGACCAATCCCAAGCTGACCATTGGATTAATTAGTATGAGAAATTAACTAGAATTAGCAGTAACTGCATACATATTAATGTATGTGTTTTGTTATTATAGAAAGCCTGTTAAGACCATCCCAAATCATAATAATTCAGGTATTACTTGGTTAGTAATTTTGCACATGACATCACTGTCTTTATTTTATGAATTTAAGGAAAAACTATTTTAAATTTTACTATTTCATTGCATTTAAAGGATGTTATATATGTGTTGAGTTATGTAAATTCAGCACAGTACTAGTGCAGATACATAACAATGACACAAGCAAGATCAGTATTTTCCATTAAACTATGTTACTGTCAGTATTATTGCCTTCTTTTTCTGCTAATATTTGTCTCTAGTTTTCTTATTGTTTTCATTGTTAATTGCAGTTATTTATATTAACACAATAGATTTATATTAGCAGCATCAACAGATATCATACATTTCTTTCAGGTACATGGACAAGCGCGTCATGACCAAGCTGAATGGTGGGCGTGTGGTCGAGGGAACACTAAGAGGCTTTGACCCCTTCATGAACCTTGTGGTGGATGATGGGGTGGAAGTACGTAGGAGTGGAGATCGTGTCAGGGTTGGCTTTGTGGTCAGTACTTACAGGTTTTTTATGAATAGGGTATTATATGTATATGTGTGTGTGTGTGTTTTTGAGGTAGTGAGAGTGACTAGACCTTCAAAATATTGCATCAGTGCTGTTGCTTTCCATATGATTATGAACAATAAGTTTATCATCTTTCTTCTTGGCCTTGAATGAGATAGTAAATATTTTCTTTACTGTGCATATATGATAATGAAAAGTTGATATCATTCGCATCTCAGCAGGTATAGTTTTTATATGGAACTGAAAACTCAGTAAATGTAATTTCTTTCTCAAAATTCTTGAAGTACTTTTTTACACTTTATTGATTAAAAATTAGTACTGCTTATATATTAAGATGATAATAAGTCTCTCTTTTCCACAGGTCATCCGAGGCAGTAGCATCATCATGCTGGAAGCCTTAGATCGGATATCGTAGTCCCAAACCCAAATATTATTAAGCTTTAAGTTAAGATTTTAGAATGATGTAATTCAACTTCAGTTTTGATTGGAAGCAGCCAATCTTATCTGTGAAGAATTATTTGTTTTTTCTGTGGAATTTCCAGATTTTTTTCTTCTGGAATTATTATGTGAATGTGCTTTCAGTAAAATGATGATTTGTAGAGTTGTGTTTTATTATTCATATTGATACTGCTATTATTATTATAAAGCCTACCTAATGAAAAAGTAGATATAACTTGTGAAGTATTAAGTATTTTTGTACATATGTTGTGCTAAGTATTTTTTCTTTCGGTTTTACTTTGTAAGCTCCCATAATCTTACAGTAAGAATTTGTGGCCTAATATTTGACGAAAATTGGTGATAGCTTTCTCAAACTTATTAGATGAAAGCTTTGTATGAATAGTTTGTGTGTTGACATCTCTCTACAGGGTTTTAACTCCTTGGACCTGGGTAACAAGACCATCATGTCACTTAAAGATTTGGCTGAGGGCCAGGGTGACGGAAATAAGCCATCATAAGGATTTCAGCTGCAGGCGAGGTTGATGGAAATAAGCCATCATAAGAATTTCAGCTGCAGGCCAGGGTGATAGGAATGACTCACCATGTGTACACAAAGCTCTTTGTTGGTGATTAGACTCAGTGGACATTCAGGAATGGGATTTTGCATTATTTCTATCAGTAAACATTTTTGGAACATACCATCCATGACCCCCCAGTAATCCCATGCCTGAGGTTGCTGTGAACTGAGGAGACGGAGACTGGAAGCCAGTGTTAAGAATCACCCCTGCCTGGGGCTTTACCCCTTGACTCCACTAATTTTGCAGTCTTTTCTACCCCATTCCATTATTTACTTCTCCAACCCTATCTACTATCCACTTGCTAAGGCTGTGGTTCCTAACCTTTTTTTCGGTCATTCCCAATCCAGGGCTGGAATTCTATGTAAATTTGTCTGCTAAAAGGAAACAAAAGACAACCGATGGATGGTGACATTACTAGATATTTTTTCCCGTAGGCTGTATATTTTGTTGTATGACTACAGATGTTTTAATGCAAATGAAAACTACTTAAAGCAATATTGAAATATTTTACCATGTTCAAATGAATTAAACCTGAAAATTGCTGAAAGCATCCTGATATGAACTGATAAGATGTGGCAGTTGGAATGTCATTGCGGTGGAATTTCATCAGATGTCACTTCAATTGGGTCTTCCTGCTGGGCATCACCAAAGGCAGAGCCACAGTCCTTGAGAGTAACTTAAAATCTTAAGCTCTACAACACACTCACTGTGAATAGTCATATACTTTTTAGATAATTCAAGGTTACAGGTTCAATGTCGTACTTTCTTGAGTTATACATCTAATACATTTTCTATTAAGGTATGGGTACAATTTAAGGTGAATGTTGTAACATTCTTTTCTTAATTTATTTATTTTATATTCTGTGTGGTGCAGTAAACAAGAAAGCAAAGCAGGGAGAGCCGTGTTGAAAGGATGAAAGGCTGAATTCGTGCCAGTCATGAATAACACGGATACGGCATTCCTATTTAGTTGTCTAGCCCTTTCCCCTCCAGGGGTCCGTGAGGGGTGGACTGTTTCTCTTCCCAACATACTCCAGGCTTACCATGGGCAGTAATGAAGATTTTGCATCCTCATTAGGGACGATAAGCTTGCCCCTTTGTCAACAAGCCCCACAGATTTTAGTCCTGACTCCTTTACTCCAGGCAGTCCTTTGACCACTATCGCCGCAGTCCAATCCAAATCATCCACACAGGTTATTACTTAACCTCCAGAAAACATTCCTCCTCCCCCAACATCATTACTTCATCATCGCACCCACGACTTTCTTCATCTACTACCCCATCCTCCCTTATTACTACTCTACAACCTTCTTGTCCACCTTTCTGCAGTACTAACTTTCACAATACTCCAAATGGGATATTTTTTGTGAGTCCCTCTACAGCCCCTTGCTCTGACAACACTCCTTTTCCACTAGTACTTCCAAAAACAAGTAGGCAAAGTTTCTTTCCCCAGCCGCTTCGATCGTTCTTGCCTTGTCACAATTGCATCCGAATCTCAAATTAAAGCCATATCAACACCACTCCACCTTCAAAAGGCCCCTTCCTGCTATCCCTACCTCTACAGACCTCTTGAGTACTATGTTTAGCTCAGCCAAATGGGATTCATGTTTAGTGATCCCCTCAACAGCCCCTTACTCTAACAACTCCTCTTCCAGCAGTGCCTCCAAGAACAAGTAAATAAAATTTCCTTCCCCAGCTGCCACGATCGCTCCCTCCTTATCACATTACATCCGAATCCCAAACTGAATTATAATCTCCCTCCTTATTGCAATGTGATAAGGAGGGAGCGATCGTGGCAGCTGGGGAAGGAAATTTTATTTACTTGTTCTTGGAGGCACTGCTGGAAGAGGAGTTGTTAGAGTAAGGGGCTGTTGTGGGGATCACTAAACATGAATCCCATTTGGCTGAGCTAAACATAGTACTCAAGAGGTCTTGCAAGTGTTTTATTGAGCTATTTTTTTTCGTGTGTTTTTAAATCTTTTAATGAATACGTCAATAAACCGGCAAGTGCTACCTGTGTTTCTGCTTAAGTTCAATGTAATTTACTTAAAAATAGGTCCCCAGTTCAAGGGAGGCTCACCTATGAACAACTGAACAAGGTGGTTCACTACAACTTGATTAGCCTATGGGGTCCCAAAAGATTATAACCCGGCCTTGAAGTAACCTACAAGGGATGAATGACGTATACGATTAATGCTTTAAGAATTTTTTGCACAAGTATGAGGCATTGGCAGTTAGACCAGCTGGAGATGGGTGCTGGGTCTTCCGGTGGGCGTCTCAGAGAGGCGTGAAGAGGGTCTGCAAAGGTGAGAACTTTGATGGGCTGCAGGATGTACAAGCATTTCCGATGCGGTTGGGAGTGGGTGTGTCTTGGTGCAGGTGAATTTTCCAAACACAAGTGCAAGGAAAGTGAAGGATGTTGGCGAGCAAGAGCGCTAGGTACATAAGGCACATTTTCAGCTGCGTGTGATTGCAATAGCCAAAGATAAAAATTTATAAATTATTGAAGCAGAGAGCATATATCAGGGGTGGCCGACCAGTCGATCACACCACTGTACCTGTTAATAATTCGTCCTTCGGAAGTTGTCATGCAAATAACTACAATAACATATCCAAGTACTCATGATACTTGGATTATCATATTTATCTTTTTTCTGGGAATATGTTATATTATATTCATATTGATGTTACACTGTTACAGATACATTTATGGAATATGT